TTGTGAGAGAGATTGACATAGCGGCACACAACAACACGACGCGCGCACACGCACACACACACACACACCGACACACACACACACACACACACACACACACACACACACACACACATATATATATATATATATATATAGTATATATATAAAATATAGCACACCTACTATATTTTGGCTCACACCATTGGTCTCTAGGAGTCCTGCCGGATTACCATTTTTGCCGCACAGTTCACATAATGTGAATTTTAACAATACAACCTTAGAACTCTAACAGCACGGACTGCTAAGAATTTTTGAATTAAATCTATTATTAAATTTACAGGGTACAAATATTAAGACAAATGGATGAAATGGATGGATTTCTGCTTTCAGAGCGTCGATGAATTACGTAAATAGCTGACCACTATATAGTATATATATATATATATATATATATATATATATTATTACTATATATAAATATAGTGTCAGTATTTACGTATTCATGACCGCTTGAAGCAAAACATCGCATAAGTTTATGATGCATAATTAAGCGCATTGCGTTAGCCATGGATTTGTTTGCTCTAACAACTATTCGACATAGGACAGCGAGAATCTGGTCTCATAATCGAATGTGCGGTTCGTCGGCTGAACTTTCTCGTCGGTGTATGTGAGCGTCGCCCACGATATATGCGACACTATGTCAGCCACAGCGGAAATTTGCTATGACGCACACAGCTGTTACCCGTGGCTCTCTATGCGCGCCGATTGAAGTAAATAACGATTGGAACGCCTCAGTGCGGATTTCACACTCCCCTATTTTCGCATTCGATCGGTTTCTCTTTGACAAGCGTACTATCTTTTATTCGACACAAACGGGCGTGTTGTAAAAGTGGACTGGAAACAAGCGGTGTGCGTGACCCACACGGCTCTCGAAGACAGCATTCACGCCACGCACACCCGAAAATGGGCGGTACGGATGTTTAAACAGCAAGTGACGTCAGTGTATCGGTCAGTGTAATAAACGTTTGAACCGATGAGTGTGTAACAGCTCTCGTTCTTCATATATCAGGTGGTGCCGCTGCCGCTATGACCGGTGACGTCACGGTGCGTTTATCCGGAATGTTCTGCCTGAGCACATCTATGACAAAATACAACAGTACGCATATACGCTCTTCCTATGACACTTGATTATTTTTTGTCATAGGAGAGGATTCCTATGTGTTGTCAGTGGTGTTGTGCGCAATGCATAGGAGTTTTAGGAGCGCTATGTATAGAAACGCAAGCACGTGAATTTCAGCTGGTAAAGCTGAACGAGTTGACTCGCCAATATTTGTCACTAGGAGAAGAATCTCATATGGACAAATATATAGTTGCCAAAGGAGAGCGTATCATTGCGTTGTGTATTTTTGTTCATAGATGCTAGCAGAACTGCCATAACAGCAGTTTATCGTGCACACCTCCATTCTGCGACACGGCGCATGCAAACTAGGGCGACTGTCATCAAGCCGCTACTGTCTCAGCTACGGTATACATAACACGTACTGACAGATCCACCTGGCTGGGCGATACACCTTAATTTACCGCAGGGTGTGCCGAGGCACTAAGACCTACATTCTATCTCTTCTAAAATTCGTCGTGCACTGTTCCGCGCGCCGCTTTCGCTCGCTAACCGCTCACGCACACGGCGCGGCGTGTGTTATTGTTCTCTGCATACGTAATTCATCCCGTATACGGTAATTGAGTAGTGTGATTCGTGCTTGAATAATGAGAACAAGCGTTGTTAGCACGCCAGCGGGTACTGAGGTCACAGGCCGCGTGGGAGCGGACAGAGTAACATCTATCATCTTCTTTATTATATCACGTAGATCGCGTGCATGGCGGATTCCCGTACAAGGGGTGACACACTAGCGATCTTTTGTGGACTGGTCAATCGGCTAGGGTGTCAGTGCCGCGTCGCGGGTCGCGTCGATTTTCGAGCCGGCCGGCCCCGGCTCATAAAAGATTGTTGTTATAATTATTTGCAGCCGGCGGCTGCAATCGCCTTTAGTGTGCCTCGTCTGCGATTGAGGCCGCCGACTTGTTACAAATTGCATCAGCCAATCAGCGTGCCTGAAAATCACAGAGTCGCCCGGCTCAGTCGCGTCTAGTGTGTCCTCAGAGACTCCAGACTCACCCGCGCCGGCTCGAACCGCCCACGAACAAATCGGCTAGTGTGCGCACCTTAATGTAAAAGTCTGTGCGACAAAGAAAAGGTTAGGACATCGCGGCAGGACAAACGAGAAAACAAGCGATGACGTCAATGCACTCGCGCGGGACACGCAGAGGAATTTCACACTCGCTGAGAAAAATCCCTCGCGCTCAAATAAACAGCCGTACAATAACAATAAAGAATCAATCATAATAATCAATCAATAATAATCATATTTTTTTAATACGCTCCCGCTATCCCCGACACCGCAGTCGATGTGATCAGCAGCGCATTGCGCGATGCGCCGGTAACACGGCGCGAATCACATCATCGACAATGGCGAGACGCGCGGTCTCTGCACATGGTCCTTGATATCTTTACTAATTGTAAGATATCGGTTAATTTCGTCGTCATTCTGTCGTCGCGCATTGACGGATGGCGACGTTCCGTCAGGAGCATCACGTCTACTACGGCAGGCTGCAGACGCCGCAGCCGTCGGCGTCGTTACGTGACCTGCAGTGCCACGCCGGCCGCCGCCACCGTCGGCGTGGACAAGAATGGCAGCCGGTGCGCGCAGATTCGCCGCAGAATCGCTGACCTAGAATGTGACCTAATAAAAGTCAGGCGTTTCCTACCAACAACAGGTGGCTGTACAATCAGCGGTGCGCAATGTAAAAGGAGAATGTTCGCGGTCGACATAATGCGCTGCGCGAGAGAGAGAGAGAGAGAGAGAGAGAGAGAGAGAGAGAGAGAGAGAGAGAGAGAGAGAGAGAGAGAAAGATTGAGAGCTCACATCCGTGGTTGCCTTCGCCGACTACTACACATAGGACAGTATGTGGCCGTTACAGCACAGTACATTAACGCTGCAGTTACTATAGTTTACTCTCTGTCACGCGGTCACTTTCTAGCGCGCCGCTGTAAGGAACGCCTGTAATCGTCTGTTTCTCGCAGGTCCCGGATTCATTGAGAAGTCTGCCTCAGAGCACCGTCGGCGTATAGGTGATGGCAATAATGCGCATGCACGCGATCGCGACCGGAAACGTTACAGGAAACACTGCCCGTTCCTGTGAGTGTTAATGACGTGGGTGTTGTGTTCCAGGTTTCGTCGACTCTAGCAGACATGTGGAGAATTGCGGCCTTGCTGTGTCTGGTCGCGGCTACCAGGTACGTAACACGCGGTCCGATATCAGCTGTCAATCATCACGTAGCCACGCCCTTCCCGCACATAATCCTCACATTCTAATGCAGCAGCGATGACAGTCATGAGCACAGATATAGAGAAGATTCATGTTTAATTCATTAATATTTAATTCATGTATTTCTTAAAATTTTACGTTTGATTGCAGGCTTCACTTTAAAGATTTCTCACAATAAAGTCGGTTTTTTTTCGTCTGATAATTTTGCACGTGCAGAAAATGAACACTTATCACAGGCGTTCATCCATACCATGGCTCTCCTTGTGTGTCATAATGTTATTGCCTATAAACTTTACGGTCTAACGTATTTTGCCCACGTTTTATGCTGGAATAAAAAAAGGGCCATATAATAGAAGCCATAACACCTATAATTGAAATACAAGCACGTAAAACGCAGGACCTTTGTATGGCCTATATTAATTCAACGTCTAAGAAACAATGTGTAATAATGTGACCTGATTTAGCCTACTCGAATTGCTAGGGTTCGGTGTTTGTGTATGTATGTGTGTGTGTGTGTGTGTGTGTGTGTGTGTGTGTGTGTGTGTGTGTGTCTGTGTCTGTGTGAGCGCGTGCGTGTGTGTGTGCGTGCGTGCGTGCGTGTGCGGTGCACGTGCATGTGAGTGAGTGTCAGTGTGCGTGTGCGCGTATGTGTGCGTATGTTGGCATGCTGTGTAGTAACGACTCTGTGCGGGGGCGCACGTTGTATCCGCAGTGTTTGGAGCTATACGCTGGACTATGACTGTTTACCCTGCTACAATGGTTTGTTCCTCACTCCCACCGGACAGACGCCCATCGAGTACCCGTGCCCGAACCCCCAGTACTGCCCCTACGGTATAGTGAATGACTCATGTCACTGCTGCTACCAGTGCGCCAAGGTACGTCGTCATGGTCTACAACTGCATCGAAGTGCAGCAGCTAACTGCGTGTTATTGTGAATTATTGCATGCATTATGTATACTTGTTCACTTGTGTATAATCGAAAATTGATTTATTGTCTTGTCTATTTGATTGCTATTAATTGGCGTAATAATGCTTATTATTCTACCTATGTTGTTTATAATGCCGCTGATATCTGTCGTATATTATATTATATATATATATAATATATATAATATATATATATATATATTATATAATTTTATTTACTGAATGATGGATATTTATAACGGAATCGAATCTGTCATGCAGACATCACCACGTGCGGCAGCGTCATGTACCGCTCTCGTTAATAGGGCTACATTAACCTGCTTATTGTTTTTAGGGCCCCGTACGAGAAATGTGGGCGGTCCGCGCAATATCTACGGCAAGGTGCTCGCGATCGTTGAAATGTTTACAAAACGGCATCGACGACTCGCTCGCGTGGGGATGTGCGGCACGCAGACGTAAGCCTTAACAGACGCAGACGCTACAACCACTAGACACATCCGTCGAAGCGACGTCATGGCGACGCGTTTTCCACTAGACACATCCGCGGCGTCATGGCGACGCGTTTCCACTAGCGTCCCATTCTCACTAGGAAAGCAGCGATAGAACTAGATTGTTGCTTTGCGAGTTGATGTGTTGTTTATGATCATTACTCGATTAATTAGAGGTATTCTGTTGATTCGTTCAGGCCTGTGTCTCTCACGAACTGTTATCTATGTGGTTATTATCTTTATCTTTATGTTCGACGCCACTACGATTTGTCTAGATACATTCCGCCATCATGACGTCACTAACGTGCATCACGTGACCACAGTGCAAATCATACGTGAATCCGCGTGTCAGTGTAAATATGTACACGAACATACTCTATCGACATATACTCATTGTTACGTCACGGATTTCGTGATGATTGATTTTTTTCACTTCATAATAAACGCGTTGTTATTGTAACCGAATCTTCTCGCATATTGTTTCCAGTTGCACACAACGCCGCTCTCGCGTCACATGTAACGATACAGTAACGTAGTCGGTGTTACATGCCGATGATACATCAGTAAACAGCACGACTGCTCTGAAATAGATATTGATCATCTTCGATAATCGGTCTCATGAGCAGTGATCGTAATGAGCGACGATAACCAGGGACATCGCAGCCCAGATGAAGAGTGGTGTTGTATATTTAATCTCGTACACGACTAATACGAAAATGAACGAAAGGGCAATAAGTTTAAGAGCAGATAAAAGTAGATTTGTTTACAAAATACTTGAAAGACTAGGAACCAAACAGACGCGTGCATAATCACACACATCAGCCGACATACTTTACCGCGGACAGATAATGAATAATATAATATCATCTACTCGAAGTATTTGATATACAACAAATAAATAGTCGCTCGGACAATCTTAACCCGCGCGCGTACAGCAGGATATCACCAGGCAGCTCTGTCAGAAACAAAATTACGTCTTAACATTATCTTAACATTATAACTTCTCACTCGTAATACGTTGACAGAACATCGAACAAAGTCTACACGGAGAATCGACAAATCATCCGAAAGATAATTCGTAACATTACGAGAGCCAGACCACTCTCGTAACTTACATATAATGATAGAAAAAGTAACACATCTCCGACTACGAATTAACATAATTATGAGGATATTATAATCTTTTATAATAAATAATAAAATGTGTTTTTCTTGAAAAACACGTGTCAAAAAATTAATTACTACCGACTCATAAAACAAAAGAAACATTTAGCAAATGGCGTTATGGCCATTTGTTCTTTGTTTTTGAAACCTGTTGCCACGCTTGCGCACGACTCTCGCGTCTGCGTCAGTTAAAGGCGTTAGCACGCTAGAAAATTTCCGCTCCTTGTGTTGCAGAATAAGATGTCATAGCCGGACGGCGGTCGTTTTCATCATATATTATTTATATGTGGTTAGCCATAAATATGCATAAATTTACTGTGATGTACAATCGAATTGTTGTATGAATTTAATTCTGTGATCGGATTCTCAGCCAATCCAGCCAAAGCCTGAGGTGTTGTGATTTCTAATAGCTCGCGACTGTGTTTTCCGTGAATGCCCTCTCTCGTAACATTAACATAGTCGTAAGTGTTATCTGAGCGATTAAACATTAGCATTACTTTACGATGTTCCTGACAGCGCCGCCCCCAGGACCTAGAATAAATAAATAAATAATAAATAATATATATACAATATAATAAGCTAAATTAAATCAATAATAATAAATTAAACACATAACTTAAATAGTAAAGTAAAGGAGAACGCAAGAAGGAACGACATAGAATACAAGACAACGAGAAATACAGAACATACGAAGAAATATATATCACAACACAGACAGGCACGAACGCGCGTGATTTAACTTAATCCGTTCTAAACTCTCTTACTCTCTCTAGTTCATTCTCTCTTTCGCGCCGCGGGCTACTCTCTCTCTCTATCCTCTCTCTCTCTCTCTACTTTCTCTCTCGCTCTTTCCCTCGCCTCTCTCTCTCTCTCCCTCTCCTCTTTCCTCGCCTCTCTCTCCTCTCTCTTCCTCTCTCTCTTTTCTACACACGCTAGCACACACAAATATGTTAGTGATCAATAATATAGTATAGTAACGTACTATATTAACACTATTATCAAGATCTAATAATATCTCTTGGTATTATTAGCTCTTGATATTATATAACTACATATAACTATTATATTACTCATATATATTACTCATATAACTATTAGGTATATATACTACATAATAAACTCAATAATGAACAATAGTGAAGAGAGCACTTGTCAACATATATGCGACTAAAAGAGAGACAAGGCTGTACTGCATGCTATGCTCGTTACACACCTAGTATCTGTCTCCTGCCATTTTTATGGCCATGTGTACCTCCTCACACAACCACGCCACGTGTACACTGAGGTGGGGGTGGGGAGGCTGTCACTGTGCCGCGTTGTTAAAGGGGGCATACAATTAACAGTAACCTTCCGCAAATTGCATTGTTTCGTCTCTGAAAAATTCCTTCTTTTGAATTTTTTGTAAAATTCGGCACTAGAGTGCACTAATTCGCATTATGCACGCAAGTTAGATGCCTCGTGGACATCTGAAAGGCATTAGAAGTAAGATTGGTCTTGTCGTGTAATTGTGCTATTCCGTCATGTGGCGTATGATGGTATCCATGGTGACCGGTCGGCCATTTTTGTGTTTGAAACGGGATTCGACTACTTTGTAAAAATGCGCATCATTTAGCTGGCAAAAGTTTCGAGCGGAGTATGGAGCTTGAATTTGTGGTTATTTAACATGAATAAAGTATACGTCGTGTATGCGACGAAACACACTGAATATTTTTAATTAATTTTTGTTCGATGCTTATTCGGGCCTGCTGCCTATGACGGACGCCTTCTACTGTTGTACACCCCTTCTGTTACAGACAGATATTGTACTGTGAAAGTAGGTTGTTTGTCTTTCCGGCATCGTAGCAGCGTCGAGTTGTAAAATTGTTGATCACCGCTCCGGCTTCAAAGTAGCGTCGAGTTAGCAAACTGTAGCAGGTTGTAGCAATGAGTAAAGATGATCCAGTCGCAGAATTTGTTGTTGAGACTGACTTTATTAGTAAACACGATACAAATATGTATACACTACGGCGACCTAGGCACCCAAGCCTAGGCCCCGTGTCTCGACTTCGTCCGCTACATCTTGATAAGAAAGTCCGTACTCACGTACGTCTCCTGGGTAGGTAACTCCTTCTGATCTTTCGTCCGTGTCTATTTATATGTTTCCGAAAACCGCCCGGCGACATTTCAATCCGAACCCCGGCCAATCACCGTCTGGGTCTATGAGGTTAGGGTGCGCGCGGTGGGTTACATTAAAATAACAACAATAACTTGTTAGGGTTAGACGTTTAGACAATTAACCCCCTAATTAGCCCGCAGCCCTACGATACAACACAGTCACGATACAACACGATACGATACATACATCACGATACGATACATCACGATACAACACAGTTCACGTCGCGTGCCCATCGCATAGCAGCTGTCGGTTCAACGCTTTCACGATGCACTGATCGTAACGATGATGTAGCCATGCCACCGTTAGTGGCAGCGGGTCACCGCGGTGGAATGTTAACTATACTCAATCATTACAGGTAGCGATAGCAGGTAAATCACGCGTGCCAGCAGACGCATTGAAATTCGTCACTCGATCGTGGCCCATATTGAAAGAATATAGCTCTCTCTCTCTCTCTCTCTCTCTCTCTCTCTCTCTCTCTCTCTCTCTCTCTCTCTCTCTCTCTCTCTCTCTCTCTCTC